ACAATTGCGGTCGACAGTTAGATCCCGATCGACCGCATAATTACATGCGGGTGGCAACTACTTTTTCCCCACTGACCGCACTGCCGGTGACGATTATGGACTATTACCTTACCCACTATATAAGCTTATGTTAGCCATCATTTCGAATTAACTGTTTCGTACAATTTCCATCCGTCTGACGACGACCTGGTGTGCCAGTGTCAAAAAATGACACAATAACCTACTGCTTCCCAACAACGCCTTCTACGGAACTGCATTAACTATCCACCTTCCATAACATTTGCATGAACCTGGTATTTGATTACGCCTAATATAGATTTCACATTGGCGCCTCTACTAATGTTATGTTTCCCGTATTTTAATAGAGTACAGTTGGAGTGCAGGGCCTCGTGAGGAGTAATCTAAACCCATTTTTGCTAAATCAACCCTACGAAACTACGGTAGTTCAACTTCATGCATTCAGAGTATTTTGATTAAATAAAGAAGTAAACTATCAAACTTATCCTGTGAGCAGTTTTGTCTGCAACCAATGACATATTTTCGCGATAGGAATTTAATAATTTGACTAAACTAAGAATATATTCTCATCGGGCCAGTTCATTTATATGGGAACGGGGTACAAGTTTTTAAAAATGTTCGTCTCTGCATGCAAGTTAGAAGTGGGAATCGATGAGAGTGGTCGAGGAGGGAAGGCTGGTTACGCGAGAAGGATTTGGTGGAGCCAGTGGAGCGGTCGCTTCTGGCGTTGCTAACAGGCAGTGAACCAGGAACGTTCGATAGTTTGGTAGGACCTTATAAATCGCACGAAAGGCTTCGTTGGGGTCCACACAATGTCCAGAATCAACAACCTTTGGGAAATATCATTTTCTTTTTCACAGTAAATGTAGTGGATTTGTTTGGTCTTCCAACAATATTCCTTGTTATAAATCTCTCAGGATATAGGCTCTCGGAGGTCCACGATTTTCTTAGGCTCCTCCTCAATATTGTTTGCTGAGCAAATGTGCCTAGCCCTTTGTGCTAAGCAGCGAACTAGATTACGTTTCTGTTGGATGGGAACGAAACTGTTAACTGTTATATACCATCCGCTATATATAAATCTCGACAGAATCCATCTAGTTACAATTGTTAACTTTGTAGTGGTTTAGTACAGGCTGCATCGGCGTCAACTTTGTCATCAATTATGACTTCCTCACAAGGCCGTTAACCGTCCAGTCTTGCAACATGACCAGCGGTATTTGTATGTTATCGGCTTATAAATTCTGAAGATAATACGTCGATATATAATGTACCCCGTGATTAGTTGGTCCCAAAGATCGGTGTTTGATATGAAGCCTACTTAATAGTGCCGACCATTTAACGTAACGTAACGGAAGTCGATAATGTCAAACGTTGTAGTTTGACTATACTCAGTAGTGTATCAAGTCAATTTTGTTAGTTTAAATTCAACCTTCAATCAATGCTCTCTTCGTCTTGCTTTCGGCGTGAGCGATTATCATGGCGGCTGCGAAGTTGAACTTATTGCCGGTTTCATAGGTGTGAGCGGCAGCTTGCGATAATGCATCATCCCATCGTACATCCAGCTTATGTTCACGTATGCGCGATGCGAGCATATGTTCAGTTTGAACTGTGCAAATAGGACAGCTTAGACATGGGATACGATACACTTCCCCGGATGGCTTACTGGGATTAAACGGCTCTTTAGTTCCAATCACTCTGCTGTGCAGGGTAGTTTTGGGTCGATATGTAATTCCAACACCTAGTCCCGCAGCGATGCGGTCAAAGGATCGTACACACTTAAAGGCAAGCTAGCTCTACGACGGGGCGACAAATTATCGCAAGTTAATTTTCAAACCTACGAGACATGTCACAAGTTTAGCTTTGCTGCCGCGAAGATAATCGCCCACGTCGGAAAGGAGACGAGCGGAAAATTGATTGGAGCCTGCTCGACGGATGGGAACTCATTTAATCAACGTACCGATCTGGCACGGGCTTACAGAGCCCTGCATAGTCATGCGCAATCACGTCCAGGGGTACGTCACTGATAGTTGATTAGTGTGAATCCCTTTAACAGCCCCAGTTGTGTTGCTCTTTTTTAACCTTTGACGATGAACTCCTGTGAGAGTTTGAAAGCTCAAGACAATAGACTAATTGTTCCGGTACTCGACAAGTCTCCTCCCTCAACCGTGTAGAAATATGGAACGCGAGTTTTCTCATTCACTCGTGAATTTAGATTCTGAGAAGTAGAAGACAACTCGATGGCTGGGACACTATGTTTATTTGCCTGACGTTTCGAAATCCGTCGCGGATTCA